TGGCGGGGCCTTTAACGCTGGGCTTTGTTGGGTCGAGAAATCGTGCAGAAAAATTGCCTCCAAACCACACGCGTATAGGAGGTCGCGCGGTAAGATTCTTCACACTTGGGTAAAAAAAGATCGTTACTTAGACTTGCTGGAATGAAATACCGTGTTCTGTTTGGAAGGAGTATATCCTTTGCGCTGGGTGTGGGAGCCCATTAACTTTATTGGCTCAAATTGACACGACCTATGACGCTTCTCATCCTCGAGTTCTGTACATATTCGGTTGCCTAGAGACAGGGCCCCTACAAACACAGCACTTGCCTGCTGACCAGAAAGCTGGCCAGTCGTCGTGCCACTCGGGCAACCATGGTTGGAAGTCAGTGCGAGTTACAGTACATAAGCCCACAAGAGTCACTCTGGCCGATCAGGAAATCGTGATTAGCAAAAATTGTAATAATGGATTATCTTCCATCTTGGCCGCTGCAGCTACAGCGAACAAGCTTTCGGGTTTGATAAAGATCAAAGCCGGTGCCGGACCCAGGACCCTGTTGGAACAGACGAACTGCTTGGCTGACGTTCTGAAGAACCTGTCCATCGCAACCGGAAAAGAAGCAACGGATGGAGGTACTAGGTATCAAGTAGCAAGAGACCGAGGAACAACCGACAAGGAGGCCACTAACAAGGAAGGAGCTGCGGACCAGACCGAGTCATCGTGCAAGACGGAGTCCTTGGGCAAAACCGAGTTATTGGGCACGACGGAAGCATTGGGCAAGACGGAGTCCTTGGGCAAGACCGAGTTATTGGGCACGACGGAGTCATTGGGCAAGACGGAGGCACTGGGCAAGACGGAGTCATTGGGCAAGACGGAGGCACTGGACAATACGGAGTCCTTGGGGTGGTATTTGATTGGTGAAGAGGGACCGATGCTTCCGTGCCACGAGGTGGATGTGGAACGTACGGACGAAACGGCTTTAGAAGCGATGCCGGTACGGGTCCCGACATCGGCACTGGAGGATAATGAATGCTGCAAGGAGTTAGAGGAAGGCGAAACGGCTGCCGACGAATTCGCGATAACCTTGGAACGGCACTTGCGGCTGAACCCGGGACAGGTTATTCGGTACCAGGTGCACGGACAGCCTCTGTGGTTGGGAGTGCCAAAGCCCAACGAGGAAAATGCTGAGTTGATGTTGGGTTTGTCAACCATACCGCCGTGCATGACTTGCAAAGCAGCCCGATTTTCAGAGGTGCAAATACTCAGTTCCTTGACCTCTATATTGATGGAGAAATATCCTAAAGACAGGTAAGTGGCAAACATCCGATATGCGACCTATCTATCTCTTCAGATTAGTACAATCGATGCAGTGGGGTACCATCGTTGTGTACACTTGTGCCAGAGATTGTGCCCCTAATATAGACCAGCAAGGCTATGAACACGTAGCCGAACCGGTCAGGGTTCAGGTGGTCTAGCTTAGGTGGTGTGCGTGCGGTTTAGCTCGGGAGTGATTCATTCATATCGCGCACATGAAGGCTTGTTGTAACTCCGTCTCGGTTAGATACAGCTTGGTAGCTTTCGAGGCAGCTTTCTTAAGAACGAATACCAACTCTGCGTCTTGGGGAACTTGCTTTCGTCTTTTCCAAGGAGAATCGGTGTAGAGTCCCTCCTTTGAAATCGCCGTGTACATTAAAGTGATGCCACTGATAGTGTGATTTAAAGCTGCCCTTTCCCGAACCAGTTCTTTTGACACAGGATTACGACCTTCACGTTTGTGAAATTCAAGAGCAGGATTTCGCATGACTGCTTCGAAGAGCTTCGTTCTTAATTCCAATTTCTTTAACAAGACACCGTGCTGAGGAAAAACAGCAGCCTTGACAGCGGTTTCTCTGACTGCCATATCTTTGGTTAAGCTGCGGTGAACAACGGGGACACTTTTGCCCGTCAAACTATTGGAGCCAAACGATCGGTAGGAGCCTAAAGATCTATTGGAGTCAATATAGTTTTCAGCAGAAGATCTTAAGTCCGATTCTTCCCCAAAGTTAAACGATACGATCTTGGACCACGTTGTCTCCATATCCTCAATGTCTCGTTGTAGGATAGTCTGTTGCAATCGGTAGCATGCTTGTTGAGTACATCGCAATTCCAAAGCACAAATGGTTGCAGGCACCAGACTCTTTTCCGATTCCTGCTTAGCCATCCTCTCTAGTTCTTTTTCCTTTTTATTTAGCTCTAATTGCAGCTTACTCATCTTATGACCTAACTCTTTCACGTAACTTTCCAAACGTATGTTATCACGACGTACTGATAGGACTGTCTGACTTATAGCAACTTCCGCAGCGTTCATAGATTTAAATTCTTCCTCTCGCAACCGGTAGGTCTCAAGTTGAGCTTGGGCGGCGGCAAGCTGGCCTTTCAGGTCCTCAATATCCTGAAGCATGCTAAAGGAAAAATATATCGTTAATAGTGAATGGCCTCCTACCTTGGGGAGATAAGAGTCGGCTGACTAGTGATATCCACTGGTGTCTCTCCTGGCGCGTCGGTTCTCGAGCCAAATTCTCCTTGAATCTGTTCCGCGCTAAAATCCTGTTGATCAATGCACTCCTCCCGCCCGTCGTCACCAGCTACAGATGACTCGTAAAATTTGACAAGTGCTTCCAGTCGGGCCCTCTCTTCGTAAACGTTGTTTAGAGACTCTTGCAGCGACTGATTCTCCGCAGTCAGTGAACAAATTGTTTCCTCAAGAACTTCGCTAAGTTGTTCTTTTTCAGACTTGAGTATTGCGTTCTCTCGTTGTAATGCTTCTTGCAAGCCTTCGAGAGTGGTTCGTATTCCATCATTGACTGCATTCAGTTTAGTTTGCTCCTCACATAACCGACTTAGATATGCAGTAAGTTGCTGAAGGTCTTCAATTGACTTTAGGTATTCACTTGCATTCTTAGTTTCCGAGTGCTGCTCATTGCGCGACAAGATGAGCTCCTCATTCAACTTCGTCGCCAAATCCGTTAATTGCGTAACCGCAGAATTCAACTCCACCAGCTGCTGCGCTTGCATTTCGGCATCCTCCTGTTGCTGCCGGGCCTCCGTTAACTTTATCTCGTACTCCGTCAGATTAAGCTGTTGCTCAAGGAATTTCACCTGGTACTCCTCACGGATATCACGAAGAGCCGTCTCCAACTGACCCACAGTCTCTTTGAGCTCGTCGTTACTCATCGCCAACTTCTCTATAAGCTCCTCGTTCACGGGTCCGTATCCCTGCGCACCGCGATTCAGCAATTCCACTAGGTCTTGAGCATCGTCTCTGTACCTAGGAGGATCCATGTCTCCACCAAAATCCTCTCCAGGTAAACGGACTGATCTCTCCGGCTCATTGACAGATTGCTCCCGAATTGAATCTGCTCGACTCGTGTGATCTATTACTCTATCTTGGTTACCACCTTGGTTACCACCTTGGTTACCACCTTCCATTGGTTACCACCTTGGTTACCACCTTGGTTACCACCGTCTTCCATGTTTTCGCCCGAGTTCATTTCGGAAATCGATCTGAAGTGAACGAAAAGTATATTTAAAAATTGTACAGACAGACAGATGGCTTGCTTATTGCCAGCAGTACCAGTTTCACAAACCCAGAACATAACTGCTGACAATCTGAATACGGAATATGTAAAATCAGTTGACTTCGATAAAGAACGGCGAAAGTGCGTAGCAACAACACACGTGTGTCCAGCATGGTTTCGTGTCCTTGGCCATGATAGGGTAGTTTCAGCCTGGTGAGACGTGGTTCGTGGTAGACCGGAAGTTCCACCGCTGGAGATGGATAGACGGACATTTGCATTGACGTCTGTTACGGACTTTGAATGGGTTGTGTTGGTGGATGGGAAGACGAATGTGGCGAAGAAGGTAGACTCTTCGGCGATCGCGAATCTTCTGTTCACTTTGCGGTCATTCCGTGTGCCGGAAAATGCGATGCGGAGGCGAAGAAGACTCAGCACGAATACGGCACGTACCCCCAACGCACAACGACGCAGCAGCATCACGCCAATCGCTTCGGCGTTCTCTGCGCCTCCCGCTGGACAACGCAAAGTCTCGGTCCCACCGGACAGCCCACGTTATCCCCGACGTACCTCACTGGCAGAAATCATGGTCTCCAGAGCCATCGAACTCGAGGCCTATTATCGCTCCTCCGAGACCACAGAACTTGGTCTTCAGCCTGTCAACTGCTGGTTTGCGGATGAAATCGCAGAGCTCCCCAAACTCGGCTCAATCGTGCGCCCGGCGACCTACGGACCTCCACGGCCGGACAGTTCCAAGATACAAATCAAAGTAAGTGTGTCATGTCCTGTCTCTGTGACCTCAGGTTACCAGACGTTATTCAACGGTGTGCTACACAACGGTGTGCTACACAACGGGGTGTTACACAACGGTGTGTTACACAACGGTGTGTTACACAACGGTGTGTTACACAACGGTGTGTTACACAACGGTGTGTTACACAACGGTGTGTTACACAACGGTGTGTTACACAACGGTGTGCTACACAACGGTGTACTTGTATGGATGGTATCCCGTGTTATAGGTGGAGAATGCGAAGCCGTCGGATTTGAACGAGTTGCGGTGGTTGTTGGGAGAGATAATAAATGTAGAGGGTGCGAGTGCGTTTACGCGTTTCGTGGAGGGACAAAGTTTGACGAATGTGCATATAGTGGTAGAGGAAGGCGCGGTGAATCCTGATCCATTCAAGTTGGATGCGCCTTGGCGAACTGCGTGGAAGTGGTTGTGTCGGCCCAGCTTGTACCCCGAAGCGAAGAGGGCGTATCTTGCTGCGGTGGCGATGACGTGGGCGCCGGTTCCTTCTTGCGTTGAGAGCACATGGATTTACGAACTGGAAGTGTGTGTAGGCGCGAAACTGCGCCCACGACAAAGCGACCAGGATTCGCGACCGAGATCCGAACACGGAGGGGAAGGCCGTGGAGGGGAAGGCCGATGTGTGCGGGGTGGGAGCCCCGTACGAGGCGGCACACCTCGGTCTGATTACCAGCACCGGCGATCGGAGACGCGTACGGAGAGTGTTGGGAGGCCGGATAGCGGGAGATCGGAAGGGGGTAGATCGGAAGGGAAATGGGAGTGGACGATTGACTGTACGGAAGAAGCTAGTTACAATGTGAGTAAATACGAAGAGGACTTGGCATTTGATCAAAGACGAAATGGATTCAGTATATTCCTGTGGGACGTGATTGCCTTCTGGCGTGGGCTGTATTCATCTTTGGAGCGCCGTATGGAGAAATGGGTACCTCCGAACGAAGACATGAGTCTGTTGGTTTCTAGCGTATTAAGACGGGATCTCGGTCTTGGTTATGTAGACGCTTTGATTGGTTTTATACCGTTGATGGAAGTGGTGCTGAACGCGTGGCGGCATGGGAATCACTGGTCCCGGATCAAGGCGTTTAATGACCTGACAGCTGACTCATCATCAACGGGCTCAGGAACCATGATGCTGCACATTCCGGCCAAGCTGCGAACTGTGAAGTACAAGTTGATTGATCTCAAAAAGGAGTTGATTTTGTACTACGGCTATCAGCTACAGTCCACTGAAGACGCGAATACTTACACGTTCGGCATAAGCAATGGAGGTGTGTTGAGCTCGTCTGTTCTTTCTGTGATGAAGGAGGAACACGAGTTCGTGTACGAAGTTGACGAAGCTTTCGTGCTGAATACGCCGTACAATGGGATCATTTTTGAAGCACTGATCGGTACAGAAATAGAAGCGAAGTACGACGACGTATTCCCGAAGTTTTACAACATGTACATGAGCGCTATCCAGGAGTACCCACGCAATCTATTTGAACGGAAATACCTGCATCGAAAACAGCGCATCGTGTTCAGCTTCAAAGCCCCTGGTCTCTGCCAGTGCGAACAAGGCCGCTGCAACTGTGGCCGCTGCACCGGCCGCGCCCCGGACAAGTTTGGAGCGACCCGGAGAGGTTACGACGACCTCATTTCGCCGACGTACGACTCGCCGTCTGCTAGGTCCAGAATCAGTAGTGGTGGTAGTTCCCACATGAGTGGATTGTGTGGTCCTTATTCCGGGAATGTCCTGACTAGGTTTGCGGTAGAAGTGCATGCAACTGTGAACCTCCAGCCGTTGCGTAACGAAGGCTTATGGACACTGTTGCAAGAACTGAATAATGAAGGAGGCATGTTTATTCTGAGAGCTAAGAAACAGAACATGTATATATCTTATCAGCATAACGGCGGTCCTTTTATCAACGGAAACACTCAGTGGCGAAAAAGCCGCCGTATCAACATCTGGAAGTGTATTGGGCGAATCAAGTCCAGACTACAATTTGATGACGACTTGGATGAACCACGACCAAGACCTCCCTGTTCTGGTCGCTACAAAATTCGAGATTTACTCGCCACAAATTACGACCAAAGCCGAGCGTCATTCCTCAACTTGTTTTGCCGCAATGATGACAATGAAATTGAACTTCACACCGACGAAGATGACAACTACCGACTAGATGAAATGACCGACGTACACTGCTTACAAATAGAGCCCGGTACACAAATACAGGTCATCAAGATACCCGCCCCACCCCTGAATACGAATCATACCTACTGTCCGAAGACAACACCCTCGGCTATCTCCACGACAGACTCCGCAACACCCGAGCAGTGTGTCATTGCCGACGCCACTTACGCCGAAATGAAGCAAGCTCAGTGTGTGCAAGCTCAGTGTGTGCAAGCTCAACTAAGAACACATACTTAGCCCAACTACATGGCAAACAAATGGAATCGGGCCATGTCGGCTAGAACCTTCGACAGGATCTCGTCAGACAGTCTTGTTAAAGATGGAATCAGTGCCTTCGCTTCCTCTGCGGTGGCCGGCATGAGATTCACAATACTGGCCATCTCGAACTCCGTAAAGTTCGCCTTGGAAGCTTCTAACTGATTTCGGAGCTGTACAACCGCTTCTCTGTTCTTGATTTGACCAAACTTATGTGCGTAGTCAAAGGACGCCTTCATGATGCTGCATTAGGGAGGAGGTCGGCACTATCTAGGGAGAGACTTACGCTTGGGCCTGGGGATCCCGACGGCTGTTTATTTTCATCTGGTCTGCTAGAATGAGTTCCAATTCACAGAGATTCAGGCATCGCGCAACCTCTAGCTCTAAAGAAGCGAGATACATCAGCATTGGTGCTCTTGTTCCGACACACGTGTCACGAGGCCGACATTTGAATGTGTGACACGCGCATGGATGGATGGTGAAACACGTGTGTGTCAGACACACGTGTGTGTCAGACACACGTGTGTGTCAGACACACGTGTGTCATTATTGCATAACCAGCGCCGCCATTGTGCAAGTGCAAGTGCTAAGTGCCTGGACGTGCTCTGATGGCCTCACCTTTTGAGAGATGGTTGCTCTCCATTTTAAAATGCTAGCTAGATTTTTTGTCGTCTGTGGAGGGTTCCGATGCCTTATTTTTTTCTCTCTTCTCACCAGGTAGGAGTCTGGGTGCTTCGCCAACGTAGAGCTGTCTGGGTCGAGTGATTTTGATTTGTCGTTCTTCGACCATTTCTTTCCAATGGCTAAGCCATCCTACGCAGCGTCCCATGGCGAAGAGTACGGTGAACATTTCCTTGGGTATATGAAGAGCGCGCATGACGATGCCTGAGTAAAAGTCAACGTTAGGGTACAGTTTTCGAGAGACGAAGTATTCGTCATTGAGTGCCACTGTTTCAAGCGCCTTGGCAATTTGGAATAGGGGGTCCGGTGCGTTCATTTGAGCGAACACCTTGTGGCAGAGATCCTGCATGACAAAGGCTCGTGGGTCGGTATTCTTGTATACGCGATGTCCGAAGCCCATGAGTCGGCACTTCTTTTCCTTGACCTTTTTTATAAACTCGGGTACCTTTTGTACCGACCCGATGTCTGTGAGCATGTCCACCACAGCTTCATTGGCTCCTCCATGAGCCCGACCCCATAGAGATGTAACACCAGTAGCAATACAGGCGTATGGGTTGGCCAAACTGCTGCCAGCTGTCCGGATGGTGGAGGTGGATGCATTCTGCTCATGGTCGGCATGTATAGACAGAAAGGTATCGATAACTTGTGCGTGTAGCTCGTTAACTACGAATGGGCTGGTGGGTGTAGCGAACATCATGTAAAGAAAATTCTCAGCGTAACTGAGGTCTGCCCGGGGGTACACCATTGGCTCCCCAATCAAGACTTTATAAGCCATGGCTACGACTGTAGGAATTTTAGCCAAAAGCCGAACACAAGCCAACTCTCTCATCGCACGATCTTGCATGTATCTCTGGTCCATGGGATCGGCATAGAAGGAAGCCATAGCGGATAATACACTGCTTAGAATACTCATAGGGTGTGCTCCCGGTACAAAGGTAGTAATGAATTCTTTAATTCGATTGTGCACTAACATCTCTGACTTCAAAACATCCTCGAACATTCTCCGCTCCGCAGTGTCTGGCAACTCGCCGTTTAACAATAAATACGCGACATCCAAGAAGTCATGGCGTTTCACCAAGCTGCTCACATCGTAGCCCCGGTAATGACACTTACCCAAGGCACCATCCACAAATGTAATAGCGGACGCACACGAAGCCACGGAATTAAAACCAGGATCATACAAACACACTTGTTCGTCGTTGTACAAACTACGAACATCCAACACGATATCCGACCCCGCCGTCGGCGCCAGATGTCGTAACTTGATCGTACGACCGTCCTTCAACGTTAATGTCGCATAACTCTCTTCAGACTCCGTACTCTCATCCAGCTTCTTGAACTGTTCATGACAACGGGAAGGCGACCGATGCATCTTCACAAACGGCTCAATCGGCCCGTTCACCGCCATGCCGTCCGTCGGCGACTGTAGCGGATGGTACTGCATTTCCCGGCTATTTACTCTAAGATTACCGCAATTTTGACCAACCAGTCGCTAGACCCCCCGTCCCCACCATCTATCGCAGCTCTGACTAACTATGTGGCAACATTGACCAACCTAACCAAGCCAGACGCTGTCTAAGCACACGCTGGCTAAGCCAAACGCTGGCCAAGCCAAACGCTGGCCAAGCCAAACGCCGGCTAAGCACACGCTGGCCAAGCCAAACGCTGGCTAAGCACACGCTGGTAACTAAGCAATCACTTTCAGGGCACTGGCTTCACAGCCCGTGGGCCGTGGTGGGGGTGACAGTGGTTGGGGGCTGGATGTGTGCTCTGATGTCCCTTTTGTCTAGTTGTGTTTTCCACATCATGGTTGAAATCTGCATTTCCTCGTATCCCGGTCTGGGGCATTTGGTTCCGTTGTTACAGCTGGGTGAGCGGTTGGTGAGTAATGAACCCAGTGTTCGGGTCCGGATTTTCACCCAGCTGGGGTTCCAGGACGAGGTGAAGCTGGAGAGTCATGTGCAGCCGAATGCCTCGATCGAGGTACGGTTGTTGGCGCGGACAGACCTGCCGACTATCGAGAATGGTATGTTGTACAGCCTGAAGGACATGGACGGCACGTTCAGTGCTGCAGCGATACGATATTATGAGGACCTGGGTTCGAAGCCGAGTGTTGTCATCAACGGCCAATTAGTGGGCTGGGGTGAGGTTGTGGCGGAGCATTTCGGGGTGCCACTGTGGGTCTTCCACGCGTCCCCAGCCTTCACTATTCCGCTGTACATCCAGGAAGGCGCCACGACGCCTCCACCTTGGCGCTTGACCCCTCCGCCGTCGCCAGACAGCATGCAATGCGAATGCAGTTTCCATGAACGGCCCAAACCGGTCCGGATCCCGTTATTGGGCGCCATAGAGTACGATGAGATGCCGCAAATGCCCCCCTCTCCTCTATTCGAGATGTTTGTCCGCTCCTTCCGTGGTCTGACTAAGGCGTCCGGTATTTTGTGCAACGATGTGGACGAGTTGTATAACGAGGCCATGTTGGAATTTATCAACTCCGCTGTACCCGTCATGAACATCGGCCCCCTCTGTCTGGCAGACAGTCGTCTCAAAGCCGCAAGCAGTCACCTGTCTAAGTGGCTGGATCAATTTCCGGCGAACAGCGTCGTGTTTGTGTCGCTTGGCAGTTGGTGCGATCTGAGCGCGGCTGACGTCGTAGAACTTGCCATGGGCCTCGAGAGGTGCAACAGGCCCGTGCTCTGGGCTTATCGAGGCCGATCCATCCAGAACGAACACTTTTTGCAGGAAGATCGTCAAGCCTGCTGTGAAGTTGACGAACGAAACCTACCCCTGGGTTGGGAACCCCGCGTGAGCCATAGGGTCCTTGTCGCCCCCTGGGTCAACCAAGCGGCCGTCCTCAAGCATCCCAGCGTCGGTTGCTTTATCACCCATTGCGGCTGGAACGGTCTTCTGGAAAGCATCGCCTATCGCGGACTCCCAGTAGTCGCCATTCCACTCGCCGCCGAACAAGTCATCAACAGCAGACTTGTTACCGACGTCTATCACATTGGGATCCGCGTCTGGAAGTCGCGCGTGCTCGAACGACTTGATCGAGACAAAATCGTCGACGCAATCAACACCGTCATGAACCACGGCCGATTCAGAATTAACGCGCATAGACTCCACAGACTTGCATCCGTAGATAACAACAATAAGGTGCAGCAATTTTTAAAGGCCATACAAAAGTCTTAGATCAACATACAAAAGTCTTAGACAACCGTCTTAGACCATCTTTAGACCACATGTACTAACTTACAATACCGACATAGGTAAACACACAACATGAGCCGCAACATGTTGTCACGTAATACCATACTTGCAGTCCTTTGCGAAGTGGCCGCTTTGGTGACATATATAACATGATACATCCGTCGTCGTCGTTGCAACAGCTCCAATCGTCTTATGATATCGGGAACTCCTTTGTTGGCGGTATGCTTCGTAAACGTCATCATCTCTTTGCCCGGCCCCCACACCTGGTTTGTTAGGATACTTGGTTAGTGATGCTGCTTCGCCTCCGGTCAACGTGCTATCCACCTTACGGGTGCTTAAATGGTGATTATCCAAATGATTGCTTTCAGCGGATGTCAATATCCGGGAAACTTTGGCTGCTCCTCTAATAGCAGTAGATGTCCGTATGTAGCCGTGTATCTGTGTGCTGGTGCAAGGTGTGTGCTGGTGCAAGGTGTGTGCTGGTGCATGGTGTGTGCTGGTGCATGGTGTGTACCCGTCTGTATTCGTATTTGCCCCGATAGTATGTAAGCATGTAAGTGTTGTATCAACAAGTCTCGCAGGACGTGCACTTCTTCGTGCTGTACCTTTGCGGTAAGTCCCCGAAGGACCGGAACAGAAGACGGGATAGGTAGGGGGTAATAAACTTACAGGGTGGCCGGGACGCCGTCGTATAGTCTTTTGCTAGGGTTTACTCCCGGCTGAGTCGACGCCGTCTGATTCGAAACCACTTGACTGAGCACGCGGTCGATTCTGCGTGAGAGTACCGGATAGTACCGGTAGCACTCTGGCAGGTTGGGTTGGCCGTAGCCTGTGAGGAACAAGTCGTCGAGAGGCAGCATCTCGGCCACAGGAAGCGGCATTTGTCTGTTGAGCAAGTCGGCAAAAACGCCTACCGGGATTTCAGTCAAGGACTGAGGCACCGGCGGGCCCTTGGGGCTGGCCTGAACGTCCTCGAGTCGGGCAATTATTGGAGCCGGTACAGGAGGGCCGTACATTAATGGTCAAAAAAACTAGGGGAGAGTAAAGCGCTCGTGTTGGCGTTATATATTGCGACTAGTCTCCTCCTACTCCGTCGTTTTGGGATACCGTCGACGGCCGGGTCGACGGCCGGGTCGACGGCCGGGTCGGCGGCCGGGTCGGCGGCCGGGTCGACGGCCGGGTCGGCGGCCGGGTCGACGGCTGGGTCGACGGCCGGGTCGACGGCTGGCCACGGGCAGTCGATGTCGAGCTCCTCTTGTTCCGTGCGGTGTCGGGAACTGCTTAGAGTTTCGAACGCGTGTTCGCCATTCGTTACGGACATGGAACATAAGAGGATGTTTTCTTCCACGAGCGCATCCACTAGTTCCTTAAGCTCTGGGCGGTCGATATGGGCTACCTGCCTCTGGAGCTCAGCGAAAGACATGTTAGGGGTGTGTCGACACACCCAGTAAAGCCGAGTCGCTACGCAGGCCAAAGCGCAGTCCAGCATGCGGCCATCTTCGCGGACCCAGAAGGAGCCAGGTTGGACACGAGTGGAGAGGAAGTCTGTGGACTTGAATAGGAACTGGTCCTTGGCGTCGACCATATCTTGGCAGGATGCACGGAGGTCGGCAAACAACTTTTGGCTTCGTCGTAGCGCCCCTTCCCTTTTAAGGTCGGCAGCGAAGACTGTGCTCAATACCCGGCGGTCATCAACTTGCAGCGTCTGCCCGCCGTACAGTGCACCAATGTGCTTCAGTGTACCCGGAGTGGGGCCGTAGCATCGCCACATTCGTCGGGGTATAGAAGTGTGTCTTAGTAAGGAGTCCGATAGCTTTACGCCTAGCATCTTTCCCACGCGATTTTCAGCCTCCATAGTATCTGGATATTGTCCATCAGAGTTTATCCACTTTACCCAGTCTGACTCCTTTATTGATTGCTCATGGCCGGTTTTCCGATACCATAGCTTTAAAGGAATAGAAAAGGTCTTACCAAACTGCGGGACTAAAATCAGCCAGTCCACTGGCGTTGCGTGTAGAGTAATGGCTCGGATAGTCCTCAGGAAATCGACAGCAATCTCGACGATTCGACGCACCACATGTAGCCGCTTATCACACTTCAGGTCCTCATCATCCAAACTATCCGCGACCTGCACGCTATCCGCGACCTGCACGCTATCCGCGACCTGCCCGCTATCCGCGACCTGCCCAGCGTCGAAGTAGTCCGGTCTGAGATTACTACCAACGCCGGTCCGGGTTGCGAACAGCTCTTCGAATGTCACGGAGGGCTCGAGAGTGCTGTTCTTCACCAAGTCTCTAAACCAGACACCCTGTCGTCCACCATTGACAACTTGGTAATGGACTTCGACGATGCAAGTGACGAGACCTGGTTCGAGATGAAGTGTCCTATGCAGGTCTTCGTACAGGGGGTCATGTGGTCCGGTCAAGTGCAAACAAGCTTCGAGAAATCGTTCGATAGAGATTTGAGTGAGCGGGCTACCCTTGACGCTGTGATAACTATCTTCAGTTTCGTCACGAGTCTCCAATGGAATACTTCGCAGAGTGCGCTTGCGACCACGGCTGGCCGCGGAGGAGCTGGCGTTATGCTTGCTTTGTCTAGATTGCAAGTCCCAACCATTATAGGGGTCGTCAAGAAACTCGAGTGTTTTTTCCGCTGCAAGAAGAGTCTGCAATCCGGGCTTGCTTTCCATGGCGGACCTGGCCCAGACGGTGGGCGGCAGTAACCAGGTCTCCACACTCGCTGCCTCCACACTAACTCCAGCGCTCTGAGTCAGTCCGCATAAACTGGTATCCGGATTGATTTCAACCGCGAGAAGTGTGCAATGCCGTGGCACCAGTGCCAGTGCAGCCGAACTAACGTTCGCCGACCAAAACGGGTCCGTTAGATCAACGGAGTCTGCCGTCTGTTCAAGAATATGGCGTTGGACGCCGCCATTCCGTCCGCGGGTGCCTAGCAAGTCTTCATCGCCGAACATGACGTCTTCAAGTTCCTCGGAGTCGTCATCTGAGTCGTCGTCTGAGTCGTCGTCCGAATCCTCTTCAGTGTCCGCACGCGTGTGCAGGAGACGTTCAGTTTTGACTTGGAGATTTTCGGGTGACGAAAGTGCGTCATGAAGGCTCTTTTCGACGTAGGCTTTGAAGCTGTCTTGGTCGATGCTGAGCTCAACACCGTCAGAGACGCCAGAAAACAAATCGCGCTGTGTAGGGTACAGTGAGCCCGTGGGTACAGGTTCCCACTCGCTTCCAATCTCGATGATACCGAGCGCCATAGCTTCGATAGCGGCAGCCGCACCACCGGGAGTTAGTCCGGAAGACTGTAGTGCGCAACTATCTCCACTCAGATCCTGTGCAACGGCGGGTAATGTCCGGAGTCCGCTGCAGAGAGCAAAGAGTAGTTTCCAGTCGCGCATTCGTGAGTAGAGAAGGTACTGTGAGCCGCGACTGACGGAGTGTCTGCGGCGTGCTAGGACGTCCCAGTAGCTGAGGTAGTGGTCATGTTCCTTGCCAAAGGATCGTTTGCTGGTTACGACGAAGCCGTTGGCATTCCATTGGTGCCAGACGCTTTCGATGTCGAGCTCCGCAACGCTCTGCATGTTGGTCCACCACGGCCGGTGGCGGGAGGGCGGGGTGAGGAGCACAGCCTTCAGCAAATTGCGACCGAAGAGCACCGGGCGCAAATACTCCGAACTAACGACTGGAAACTCGGTGAGGCCGAAGGGCCGGACCTCGGCCTTGAGCGGCAGCGCGTAGGAGAGTGCCGCCTCCTGCAGTGCCCGGGCGGGAAGACGGCGGTAGGAGTGCAGGATGCGGATGTTGAGCGTGCTAGCGTATCGGTTCAAACAGTAGGTGAGTACGAAGTAAGCCGCCGCCGGCGGGAGGACTTGGTCGCCGTAGACGGCTGAGAAAATAGGCCAGAGCGGGTCGCCAAAAGCCGCCTCGCCGGGGAGGATGTCTACGTCCTTTTCCTGTGCCGATCGGAGACGTTCGCACACGGCAAGGAAGGCGATGAGGCCGTACTCGTCGTCACGGCGCGCACTTTGGATGAATCGCTTCATGCTCTTGCGCTCAGCCTGTGTCAGTTTGTAGTAAGCCAGTAGCTCTCGCGCTTCGCCGCCAAGATTCTGCAACGTCTTGGCAGCGTCTTCACTGTCCGACATGACACTAAGCTCGGCAACCGAGCTCAACTCTCGTGCGTTCACCGCAAGCGATAAGCCCTTGCTCAACGCCAGCACGTCATGCTCCGAACGTGGGTCTACGGCATGCGCCCACCATCCGACACGCTGCAATGGCAGCGTACTGCCCGCGTTCTCGTCGGTGCGGACACACGATAGCAAACGAGCTACGTCGCGCTGGCGACCCTCGACGGGTATCATATCGTCTTCATGCACGCCAAAGTGTTTCCGGCGTCGCTTCCGTCGTACAGCATCGACGTTCGTTCCACGTTCGCGCTTACGGCGCAATAGCTCTTCCGCAAAGACCCACACGCGTTCGTCCGTGGGCGGTCGACAGCCATGGGTTTTTTGATAATGGTTTACGACTGATGGCCGTTGGGCGTACATCATCCCGCATAGATGGCAGCGGTATTTAAGATCGCGCGATTGATGGATAGTCAGATTCGATGCCGCGCCTCCCGTCAGCGACGCCAGTTTCGAACTACCCGACGTAGCAAAGTATCCTGTCAAATATTTGATCACCTCATCCGTAGGGATCTGCAACTGACTGGACACCTTCAATACCTCCGGTGACTGCGGATTCAACACCGTAAACGTACCAACCGCAACACTCTCTGCCTGCGTCGCAATCTGCTGGGCCAGTGCATCCAACACCTGCCGCATACCCATCGTCACATACACCTGCTCCTTCCAATTCTTCTTCGTAAAAGCCTCCAACAAAGGGAAACCCACTGGACAACTGTCGCAATACACTCGCCGTCGTGTCCGCCGCCGCAAACCATGCTCGTCCAACAATACCGCCTTCCCATATTTGCGCGCCCACCACTCTGCCTCCAGTCGCAAACTCTGCCAGAACTGCTGATTCTGCTCCGGCTCTGTCATATCGAACTGCTGCGGCGGCGTCGACAAACCAGGTCGGAATGAAATTTGAGTCAAACATACCGAAAGCAACCACCGACCCGATGTCGCCCTCTGCATTATGTCCTCTTCTTCCTCGTCATCCACTTCTTCCTCGTCATCCTCTGCCATCTCCGACTCGGTGTCCGGAGCATTACCCAAACTGTCGCCCCCATCCACCTGCATAGCCAGATCAGGAACTTCAGAGCTGGCCTCGGGTACCATCGATACAGCTTCGTTCCCGGCAGCCTCACTCGGCGTCAGATCGTGCGTCTGACCTGCCGGTTTCCGTTCCGTAAGGTTGCTTGTTCTATCTCCCAAGGCGACCATGTTACCCGCCATGTTACCCGCCATGTTACCTGCCATGTTACCTGCCATGTTACCCGCCATGTTACCAGCCATGTTACCAGCCGGCTTGAGGGATACCCAAACAGTCGCTCCGATCGGCTTTAGTTTGGATAGCATCTTATGTACGGTTCTCATGGCTAGGGACATGCTGGAGCGCATCGACGTTTTGACGCCGACAAGTCGATCATAGACATCGGGCGGTAGGTCCATCATTTTGATGGAACTATTTTGGTCTTGTTCCAACACTCGGTTCGGACAGCGAGGAGTGGCACCGTGGAGGTAGGCCTCTACAAAAGACTCCCTACGGCCGTATCCGATAAGTCGAAGGAAGGTGTCTAGAGTCATGCGATCGACGATGACCTTGGTGGAGATATGCACCCGTTCGTGGACTGTGGCTTGAGGAAACAACAGTTTCCTAAGGTCTATCAAATAGTCGTAAAAGACTTTAAGACGGCTCATGACGGGAAAGATGAAACCGTAATGGGACAACAAGCGTTGGTCATGTCTGCCTCGGGACTCGTGGCTCCGCGGTTCCACGACCAGCTCACCCAAGTAGAGATTCTTGTTAGCGTACCGATGAACGGGATTGGAGCTTCTTGACCATTTTTCAATTTGTAAGTTTTCAGCTTCAAGCTGACTGACAACCTCGCCCGAGATTACGTCGTTCTGATCTCGCAACGCACGGCTTATAACGGCGTTCCGTCGCATTGCTTCGCGGCAGGTCTCGCTTCGTCGCTCCGTAAGTGCTCCCTTGACTTGTGTCGCGGCCTCCATTTCGCTGATGTATTGACTCGTATCGTAAAAAAAGAGCATCTCTTGCCCTTTCGAGCTGAGGACACCCCTCTTCAGGTTGGGCCACTTCTCCATCGCCACCCTCGCTATCCTCATGATGGTCTTCCGGTCAGGTCCATTGGCCGTGCCCTCCACCTCTGCATAGCGCTTGCATATCTCAGGAATCATCGCCACACCGAACTGCTCGATCCACAACTGGAACTGGTCCAGCCGAATAGTGAACTGGTCAGTCATGATCTTACGCGCGGCCGCACGCCCGTCTTGACGCCCTTCAGATATCACACCCGAACTTGTCAAAATCGATGAGGAAACCATCTCCGTAGACTGAACCATGTCATACAGACCCTGTACATAATATCTATACATGAAGTACTTGCCGGACCGTTGTGCTCTCTTATCAGCAAAGCCTCCTGCCTCCAAAACCGAGAGAATCTTAGACAGTTTTTTCGTCGTCGAGTTCATGTACCGCGCTACTCCCGGGGACACGATACCGGTCCCGCCAACCACTCGGAGCAGTCCAAAAATGGCGTAGGCGACGCTCTGACCAAGACGCGGCCGGTCTACTACAGCATAGCCATCCTCTTCCTCGCCCTCTTCTTCCAAGTCGTCGACTCTGTTACCGCGTGCTGCATCACTTCCGCCACCACCGATGCCCGGCACACCTGTGTCGACTGTGATGTGGATATCGGGGTTGTCCTCATCAGCGTCTCCAGCGAGTCCCGCCGACAAGTCGGCAGAACTGACGGAAAGGAAGGCGGGAGAGGTGGCCAAGATGACGCATGTTTCTAGACGGGCAGTGCTGGCACACCAGGCTCGGACCCGCTTTAGCAGGCCGTTCAGGAGCAGCTCTTTGCGAACTCTTAGGTAGAAACGACTTAGCGTCTTTTCGCTACAAAGCAAATTATCACTTTGGTGGTAGTCTGTGAAGTAATCGACAAAGTACAACTTGAAGTCTCTTTCCAATAAAATATTATTCTCCAGACCGGATAACAAGGCTACCGCCGCCTCTTTAAAAGGCTCAATCTTCTGTGTGATGTGCACTCGCAACAGGTCAGAACTAATGTGGTTGTAATCGAAGAAACGATTACACCAAACTACTCCGGATGCCGACAGCTGACCCTTGTTGCTCGTCATCAAAGAGAAACCTCTCCTTGCCCGGGAGCGCGCAACAGAACTGCCACCATCTGTATTGCCACCACCACCAGTTTCTGTATTGCCACCACCACCTTCTGTTACAGTTTCCGTGACCGGAGTACCAATAGATTTGTCGTCATTGGGAGATGTAACGTCATCCTCCAATTGGTCCTTAGACAAAGGTATATTTATGTGAGATTTCAAAGATGCTGGGAGTACTAACCCTAGTCTCTTAATCATCCTGAGCCTGTAAAATGGTTTGAGATGTTGGAATATAGTTTTCGGATCAAGATCCAGATCCTTTGAGATCGCATACTGCCAGTATCCTGAGTGTCGTGATCGTGCGATACACATCAGTATACGTTTACGCACATCATGAGCCACAATTTCCGGAAAGGAATCCAAATTTAAGTTGGTGATTATATACTGATCTTTACACCTAAAGCGAACTCCATCCAGCCTTAGTATTTCTACATCACTACCTAGAAAACATTCCAGTTCATTTTTCAACCTAACCAACAGAGTGCCCGCCGACGGTAAGCCGGCAACGTCGTCTCCCATATCAGCACCAGTCTGGATGTTGTCAGGTCGGATGTTGTCAAACAATACGTCAGGCCTCATATCCTCGACCGTAGCACTCTTAGGCATCATGTTCGCTGTCACACATTGTCGCACATTCCTGAATCCAATTAAAGGAGTTATTATATCTGCCAGCCAATGACGTCGATCGGTAGGTAGCTCCACCTTATTCTGAAGCACAAGAACATTTACCCAGGTGTGTGATATTGCCCGAATGGAAGACACGTGTGTGCCCATTAACAAGTTCAGTGGGGGGTGCTCAAGCACGTGTGTGGTGTCTTGGTACCTCATTGTCAGAGACGACGACTACATCCGATTTCAATAATCCTTGTAAGATGAATAGTTGTTGTCGCCTTGAAATTGATCCTTTGGTAACTCTGTGTCTTGACAAGATGTTCAGGAGACGATTGAATGATGTTCCTTCCGGACCCTCATATGCCAATTCTTGTGTAGCCTCCCTCACATTAAGACAGCATGTCATGATTTATAAAAAGGTCTTCCGCCCGGGTCATTTTGGAAGTATTGTATCACAAGATAGATCTAGAATGTGTGCATGATATACTTCCCTCTTGGAGTTCCATTGGATAGCATTTACGAGCTTTGTGGGCATAGGCCTAAAGCTGACTAGACCTTGTATTTCAAGCCCCAGAATGGTCAGGAATGCTTTCCCAACTTGACACTTGAACGATGGACATTCTGGACCCCGGCATTCATCACGCCCTTCAGACGCGCGACACTTGTACGATAGCTTGCGCTCATGGCACAGCCAGCATGCCAAGCACATCACAAGACGGATCCGTTTTGCATGCTTTGAAAGGTTTATGATGTGTAAAGCCTTTCCGGCCAGGCTGTCTTCATGAAACATTGCCAACAACTTTCCTTCCCATACCACGTTAGAATCAGCATCCACTCCTCGAACTAGGCTTTGTCCCCTTGCTTGTCCGGATGATGGGATGTATGCGAACACCTGGGAATTTGTTATAATATGCAATGGAATGGTATTGTACAAACAGTCTATTGTTACCAAAGGGCCTACTAGAATCAATCGTGAACGAACATCGTGTTCTTTCGCACACACGATTTTATCGTGCTGCTCAGATTCGCTGCTCAAATTCGCTGCTTCAGAACACGGGGTCTCTTCATTCAGGAAGCCGCCTTCCTTCAGAAAAGCGCTTTGACAGTCTCTCAGATCATAAAATATCGACCACGACCGCAGACTGTAGTCTTCTGCAAGGTTTGACAACAAGGTATCGACCGTATCCAAATGCTGAGAGATTATTCCAACAAAGATGTAGTCGTACAAACCTTCTTCGCCGTTGATGGTAGCTACACGCAGCAACTCCTGCAACTTCAGAATGTCCTGGTCCGCACAGACATCCGTGATCTTGCCTTTGACTACGGACTCTGGACTGGACTCGATGTGAGCAATCGTGTTCTGACCAACCGGGTTATCAGCACCCGGGTTATCAGCACCCGGAAGATTACCACGTTCCAGAGAAGAATTTGCACAACGGGTTCTGCCAGAGGCTAACCGAATGGGCCTATTTGTTCCGACGGAACCTGGGGCTACAGTGGACCGTGTGAAGTATGGTCGAGAATTCACATTTTCAGAATGATATTTGATTGGAGCATCATCCAGTATGTCATCAAGACGTATACCGAGTGTTGACACCAGGCTGGTGTACGTGCTATCCATTAACAATAAGACGCTGTCCCCCGGGTAATTGCCCGCTACGCTGTCCCCCGGGTACGCTGTCCCCCGATAATTGCCCGCTGTCCCACGACTTAAAAAATTATAGTAGTTTTAAAGGTGGTTGACCATCTTTGAGACTGAGGGCGATACAAGAACCATCAAAGCTCCAGCCTAGATGATGGGAGCCTGGTGCCGCTTTAGGTTTCATTTGTGCCTTCGACCAGTGTCCATTGTGTGGTTTGGTCCAGATGATGGTAGTACCATCATCTCCTAGAGAGGCGATCCGTTCCTCTCTGGTATCGTTGGGGGGCATCCATGCTATGTCAACAATAGGCCTTTTGTGTCCTTGAAGTGCCTGTTCTAAGATGTATGTATTACCGTCGTATATGTACACATGTACTTCTCCATCTTGACCACCCGAAGCTAGTCGGCGACCGGGGTTCATCAGATCATCACTTGCTTGTCCATATTCTAGCCCACTCCAACGAGCTACATATGCAGCACCAAGATGGGCCTGGAATGTCATCTTCTTCCAGTTGTGATCGGCTTGTAGAGAAAGCACAACCACCGTCCCATCCAAACAAGCCGCCGCCAAATGTAATCCTACCCCACTCGTAGGCCGCAAAGCACTCATCTGATACTGATCCGATGGCGGACTCCCCGGCGAATTGGTAAACGATACAGATCTTATTACTGACGTATTCTGGTCATCCACATACAACACTTCCCAAACCCGAGTCTGCGGATTTTCTTTCTGAATCACAACCCGACAATCCGCACCACAACTAGCCATTACACAACCAAACTCAGTCGGGGCAAAACACGCCTAAAGATTACAACCATGTCCACTTATACAAAACATTCACACGCGTGTGTAACACGTGTGTGTAACACGCGTGTATAACATGTCTGCATAACTTACATCCCAAACTGTGGATTCATGCCCCCTTATAGTAGCATACGGCGTGTTGGGGTTCAGCGACGGCACGTAAATCAAAATGTTTCCGTCGCTGCAACAAATGGCAAGATACCGACCAGATGGCGAATATGCCAAGGACTTCGCTTCCTTTTGTCCGTTCAGATTCAACCCATAGTTTACTTGTAGGGGAATCGGGTTTGAGGTCGTAGTCGCCATACGGAATTTTTCCGGACCTATTTTTAAAAAACGATCGAGCAAACTTCGCCATCGGTCGAAGGCTCTATGGCTTTCTTCAACTCGGCGTACAGGGCGCCTTCGAGGGTATTCAAAGACCACGATCGTTGCTCACCCAACGAGTGTTCACCCAACGAGTGTTCACCCAACGAGTGTTCAGTAGTGACATTTTCGGTCGATGCTGGAGAGGTGGAAAGCGCTAGTGCACGCCCCGCGGGACCTACAGCGTTCTCCGGATCTGTGGAGGCCTTGATGGTCTCCGAACTACCGACGGCCCATGCGCCTTTGATGGCCTCCGACCTATCGACGATCTCTGGACCGTTACCGACGGTGGAAAGAGCGACATTTGTGGAGAGAGCTTTCACGTCACTTTGGTCAACACAGAGGTTTGTGACGAGTATGTGGTCCGTGACGAGTTTGTCCAGGATTTGTGTTTCGTGGTTGGTGAGGGGAAAGAGTTCGGTGGCGTCTTCGGGAATGCCCATGGAGGCGGCTCGGCTCTGTAGGAGAAGTTGGACGGGTCTGTTCATGTGTTTCTTAGAAGAGCCTAGCTGTACCATAACTTTGGCCAGGTAGTGTTTAAGAACGGTGAGTCGTAGCACTGCGTGTCGATACTGGAGGGGTACATTATCATTTCGGATTGCGAACAAAGTAAGAGACGTGGCGGTAGGTTGCGCCACTTGGTATTTGGTCGTGCTGACAAGTTCCGCCAGGGGCTTGCTCAACGCGCTTAAGAACCTCTGGCGGATCTTGGACAAGTCACGACGCGTCCAGGGCGTGACAAGACGTGGGTCGCTCGTCAGGGCCGCGAGTAACTCACTCTCCAACGAAACGAAGTCCCAGCCCGTCAACTGGCGATTCTGGAACCGACTGGTCGCCGCATTGTCTTGCGTCGAGCTATCGGGGAGCTGCGGACTCAACAGGCCGGGGGGCACCACCAAAGACTCGCTTCCATTTTGTATACCACCTTGTATATACTCGCTTCCTTCGGCTTGGAGCGCTTGCTGGAGGTCATCATCTGTTATGGCTGCGGCCGTGTCGGAAAAAACCGTCTCGGTAACGGTGGCATCGGCCGCGATGGCATCGGCCGCGATGGCATCGGCCGCGATGGCATCGGTCGCGGTGGCATCGGCCGCGGTGGCATCGCCCTTAGTTGCAAATGCGTACGAGGAGCGGTAGGCTTGGGTGGGTTTGAAATTGACGGTGGGTAGGAAGAGTTTTGCATTCACGCGGAGCTTGGACTGAAGAGCGAGGTCGCCGGGATGGAGTTTGTAGAAGCGCTTGAGGCAATCGGCGTCCGTGCGGCCCTTAAGAGCCTCGGATATAAGGCTCCAATTACGGTGGTAGGGGTCGTGACGGCGTACTGCGGTCTCCAGTTGCCGGTCTTCCTCCGGGGTCCACGTAGACTTTCGCAGACCAGGCGCGAGCAGGTTCTCGTACCGCTCCCGAATCTTCACGTCTGTGCCGCCCTTGATGTGGATCCGTACCCAGTTCCCGCGACCCTGAAGCAGAACCTGCGACTGAATACTCAAGTCATCGTCTATAGTCCATCTCTTCAGTCCCGGCTTCAACTTTACTGGCTTCTTCGATTTTGATAAAGCGCGACCCTTCTTCTCAGCCGCCGTACCCGACGACTCTTTATCCGAACCTGACATCGCCTGCGCTGTGTCGGACGGTTCAGCTTCTTCCTCCATTGATCCAACTTGATTATCTCCACCAAACGATTTCTCCTGACTCTCATAAACTAAGCCTTTTTGGCCCATACATAGCCCCAATGCTTTCTCTTCAATTGAAACCCGAGATGACATGGAAGAGACAGGGGTGGAAACAGAAACAGGACTGGAAACAGTAGGAGGCCCTGAGCCGTCCTGATGTCCGAAGTCTGAGTATGTATTCCAATCAGGCACATGCCCGATTGCGTATATATCGGAGCTGCTAGTCAGAGGTGCTAGTTCCGAATTAATTTCGAATGGACGCATCTTTAACGAATCCATACCCAACGAGGAATCCATAGCCAATGAGGAATCCATTCCCAATGAGGAATCCATTTCCAATGAGGAATTGATTTTTAGTGAATGTACGGCTGGTAGAAGTCCACTAAGACGTGAAGAGGCCGCGTCCGAATATTCAATGTTGGATCCGGCTGAAACGGGAGTACTGGATAGCGGTTCTTCAGACAAGCGTCTCTTGGATAGCGTGGGTGGCGTATCAGATGTTGATCTGATATAACGTGGTTTATATTTCGTGTGCTCATCATCATCTGTAAGAAAGCCGTCTTCAAATCCTTGCAGGTTGTGTTTTATATTATTAAACTTATTCTGACATTGTTCAGGAGCTTTAGTAGGGAAATGTAGAGCGATCTTTAACCATAGTCCTTTATGACCCTTATACCGTTCGACGTATGCGAGAAGCATTTCCTCATCTTCTTTGGTCCAAATGTCATTGACCAGATTGCGATTCAGATTACATTGGTAATGTTGAAACACTCTAAAGACATCGAAATCAATCGTTTCCGCTATGGCCTTCCAAGATTTGCCGGCCAGAACGCCTTCTAAAATCACTCGTTCATCCTCTCGAGATATAATACGTTGGTTCCGCCGAACGGATCTAGGATGGTAAAGATACTGCCATCGTTGCTGGCAGAGTCGTGCAGAGTATGCCCGTTCTAATGCGATAGAAACATTGTCCCAAAATAGAAACCAAAATTCTTCAATGGACCTAGGGTCCTTTGTCTCACGTAACATAATATTCAAGTCAACCAGCACCCTAGTTTGCGCTTCTATATCAGTCTTAATGTCCGTGGTCTCATCCTCACCCAAGTAATGGCGCCGCACCATGATCCGAGCTACCGAAAGACTGGGTCCAGATAACTTTCCTTCGTCACGACCATGTGACGACTGCACCGGCTCTAAAGACATGCCATCAGAGATGGCGGGGTATTCCACTGCTGGGCCAGGCACTTGATTAAATGGTATGTTACCATGTCTAGCACGAAGCTCGATAAGCTCATGCAGCATTAATTCAGCCACCACATCTCTCAACTGGGTACTCAGCTTATCATTCCAACGCTTCCGTGACTGCTTCTGACTCACAAACACCGGAGGAACACTATTGTATGCTCGGGAACGGAGTTTTGCACGAATTCTCGGCAGCGCTTTTTCTGAATCCTTTTTGTCGACCTCTCTCATCTTCTTCGATTCCTGACGAAGCACCTGCATATCCTTCCAAATGTCGGCTCTAACCTGATCTCTGCTAATCGCATGCAAAGCTTCACGACAGTCACGCGACAGTTTTAGCAACAATGTCTGGCACTTGTACAAAATAAGCATCTCCTTGATTTGCGGGTGGTCCCGAGCTAGCAGATACGCTTCATAACCCCGGTTCATCTCTACATCATCTTCCTAGACACGTGATGGATTGTGAGGATGAGTGAAGCTATTACTTTCGGGGGTACAAAGGGGATATTTAGGTTAAACGGTGCTTGTATTCCATTGCTTTTTATCATTCAGAGCCACACCTCAAAAAAAGCTGTACGTGTAGTCAGGAAAGTGCCACAACTTGACCACTCCCTGTGAATTACCCAGCCCTACCCAGCCGTTTGACTCACTAAACGCACCACATGTTATCTTGCCACAGTCCAGTTTATCGCCTGGCCAATTTTGGAAGACATAACCTTCTTCAACATTCAACTACAACAAGACCAGATGATTTAAGACGAGATGTAGGACGGAAGGGTATGATGACACAACGTGACCCAGGAGCGCAATACGGCCGTAGTACACGTCCTGGCCCGGTGTAGTACTCACCAGTCTAACATTGTCGTTTTTGTCATTGTTTGCGGCAACAACCAAATTATGTTTCGGGTGAGAGAACAGGGTATTAGCGACCCCTGTCAAGTTGCTGTAGGTCTTCAAGAGTGTGTACGGTGCGTCGAGCTTGTGTTGCGTGACGACCCCGCCTGCGTCGCCGACAATAAGCTTGTTTGAGTTGATGACGAGCGACGAAATGCCGAGAGAGCCGCTGAGCTGCGTGCGGCTTATGCAGCGTCCTTTGGCGCTCGTATCCCACTGATATATATCGCCAGCAGCGTCTCCGCTTAGGAGGACGCCGTTGGGCAGAAAGGCCATTGCAGTAGTGTCGCTACCGGAATTGTATTTTCGAACGACTTGATTTGTTCTCTCATCGATTTGATAAATACAACCCCTATCATCCAAGACACAGGCAATACCATTGTGGCATAGGATAGATCGGAAATAGTTTTGGTCTCCTCGCCGTCCTATATAGGGGAGCTTCATCAGTTGGCGAGTCTCCAAGTGGATGGAGAAAATGTTAGCCCTATCAGACAAACATAAAACCCGTTCCTTGTCAGAAGACAATGTGGCATGCTCTATCCGCGCATCCTCCACCATCACGGCCCCCAATACTTCCTTCTTTGTTTCCGCCACTGAGTATATGAGCATTTTCTTATCGACACTCACACTCCAAGCAAGGTCCGAAGTTGCGTCCCTTGGCCGAAATCCCAGAGCCGTCACTGCACCTCTGTGACTCGTACGGGCTCCAGTCAGTAACCCGTAATTCCGCACTCGCAAATAGCCCGGACGCACAACCCGAGCCGCATCCCGCACTATATGAATCTCGTTGCTCAGCACCTTCTGAGCTCTGTAATCGCTTCCATTCACATTCGACGGCGTCTCGCTACCTTTCCTTCGCAAACGCTCCAACCAGTCAGACGACTTTCGACTCCGCTTCCGAGGCGACTCATCCGTAATCTCATCTTCCGTAATCTCTTCCTTCTTTACCTCTTCCTTCTTACCAGCTTCCTTTCGCCGCTTCTCCACTGCAGCCCCGAAGACCAAGGCTTCAGTTACAGAGTCCAATAACTCGAAGACGTCCTCCGTCGTTTTGGCGGGCCGCATATTCGGACCGAAAAAATACCCGTCAAAAATTTAAGCATGGTGAGTATAACTACTTCTTCCACTGCTTACAATCCGGCTGCTGAGAAGGCGTTGAGAGAGTGTGTGTCGGATGCCTTGAAGGCTAGGTATGTACCGACCTACGACGCTGCCAAAATTGACAATACTTCTGTTGACAACACTGGTTCCGGTGGTAACACTAGTTCCGTTGAGAACGCTTCCGTACCTGACTATAATGGCGTGCGAACCGAACTGACTGAGCCTGTGACCTATCCGGAACGTACACCCAAGGCGGTTATCGACAAGGTGTATGAGTCGGTAGGGCACACACCCATGATTCGGTTGCACAACATCGAGCTGGCCAACAACTTGGAATGTGAGTTGTATGGTAAGCTGGAGTTCATGAATGCGGGTGGGTCGATCAAAGACCGCATTGCACGGCGTATGATTGAGAGGACTGGGGATACACTAAGGCGGGGTGACTTTATCGTGGAGGCGACTAGTGGTAATACGGGTATTGGGTTGGGTATGGTGTGCGCTGCGGAAGGTTATCGCTTGGTCGTGGTGATGCCCGAGAAGATGTCACGCGAGAAGGAGAACACTCTCACTGCGCTTGGCGCTATAGTGATCCGTACCCGGAACTCAGCTGCTTGGAACGACGAGGACTCGCACATTGCCATTGCATACAAACTTCGAGACTTGATTAACGAGCGTTCCGAACAACTTGGCGGAGCCCGCGCATACTGCTTGGACCAATACCAGGCCGTGGGTAACATCGAGGCACACTACGCCGAGACCGCCGAGGAAATCGTGGAGCAGATGCAAGGTAGGGTTGACTACTTTATAGCTGGCTGCGGAACCGGCGGCACTTTTACTGGGACATCAAAGAAGTTGAAGGAGAAGATCCCGCACATTAAGTGCGTCCAGGCGGACCCCGCAGGGTCGGTTATGCACAAACCATTGGAAGAGATTAAGGGTAAAAAATGCTCACGCAGCTACGAGGTCGAAGGAATCGGCTATGATTTCCACCCCCCGTGCTTCGACCAAAAGATCGTTGACGCTTACGAAATCGTCGACGACAAGGATGCGTTCAAACGTGCACGCGAGCTCATAAAGATAGAAGGTGTGCTCTGTGGAGGGAGTGCTGGGTCCGCACTCGAAGCAGCCATCCGTACCGCCAGAAGGGCCACCCCTGGCTCCAGAATAGTGTTTATAATACCCGACAGTGTGCGAAATTACATAAGCAAGTTCATTGCAGACGACTGGATGCTTGTCCACCACATTTTCAACGACCCGGAGGAGCACAAGGACTACGTTCTAGGCGAAGGTGATAGTCGGTACAACACTGAATTAACCACGTTCCCCACATTCAAGCTACCTAAAGTGGATGGAAAGGAAACGGTGGTTGATGTATACTCCAAGTACTTTTATGGATCCCATACCCTCCCATCGCGCTGCTCCCACGTGGCTGTGGTTGAGGGCAAGGAGCTGAAGGGAATTGTCTCTTATGGCCAACTCGAGGAACTCATTCTCCAGCAAAAAAATGACAACAAAGCGATTATCAACTACGCGCTTCCCTATTCCATTACTTTCGTCAACAAGACTGTCACCAACGAGAACATTAATGAGATCAGGACCCATCTCCTCTCTCAGGAGTTTGAACCCAAATTGAAGTCCCCTCTTGTCATCGTAACAGACGAGCCTAGAAGGGAAAACGAATGCCTCTCCGACTACAAATCAAGAATACTCGCACATTACCAATGGGACCAGTCTGAAGTTAACGGCATGACACCTTCTTTGTTCATGAGCGCACTCCGCAAGTTCGACACACCGAAGGAAAACCACCAGAAGGCATGATTTTTAACTTCCTTCTTGTCCTAGCCACATTTGCCCGAAGCGAGGACCATGGTATCCTGGGCCTGGGCATTCCAATTGTGTCCAAAGTTGGACAGGTATGCAACTTTGGTCCCGACCATTTCACCGAACCGAACACTCCAAAATCTTTCCGATCCTGACAATCTTCCCGACCGTATACTGAACCGCCTGCCCCACCACCACCACCACCACCACCACTCTGCGATAACGGCTCGCCACTTAGATAGCAGACCGGATCAGCGAACAGGCTTCCGGTGCCTTACGGGGTATGCACCAACAGGTGCTGAACGTAGCGAACCCCATCGAAGACGCTCGGGCAGCCGCCATTTCCTACCGGGACAAAGCACTCGTTGACCGACTCGACTTCATGAACGGCATGTTCCAACCCGTCCAAAATGTGGCCTCGCTCGCTGGCAACCAAATTGGACGCGTAACCGGCGGGGTCGACCGCGTAGCCTCGAACCTCTTGCTTAACCCACTGAACCGAACCACTGGCTTCATCGGCATGCTGGAAGGTCGACTTCTTGACATCACCCGAAACGCACTCAAACCCACCACACACACCTCCGAAGCGTAGAATACCTTTTGTCCGCTCAATAAACCCGCCACCTATATTCAATCGTAAATACACACACGTTCGCTCCCATGCACTTTCTCCTCTGGGCAGGCACCACTGCCGCCTCCATCCTCAGCAGCATCCAACAGTCCCTAATACGCCACCCACAACTCCGTCGCGACCTAGGAATTGCTCCAACTTCTGCCAAACACACCGAGCAGGTAGATGACATCAAACTTATTGACCGATACCCATACGGAGGCCAACTACTTCTAGCTCGGCAGGCACTTTCCTACCTCAACGGTGACAGCGGCATCCTAGCACTAACCCTGCCAAACCTTGGCCTGAACCAAGTCGAACGAGTAAGAAGCGTTAACAAATCTGTAATCGGTTTCAAGATGGCAGAAACTACGGGCAACTTGACAAATGCTGCCATCTTACTCTCAGAAGAAGGCCTGTTTCGAGCATTCCAGCCAGTAGAAGACGCCAGGACACTCGGAATGACCGCAAGGGATCTAGCGATTGCCAGTCGCCTGGATCGTCGAGCTCAAGCATTGGACCCAATTCGAGACCAAGTGCAGACATTCGCCCAACGACTCGATAACGCTGTGGACACCATTGACAACGGACTCGGCCGGTCGGCGCTGCTCCCGCTGGCGGCTTCTCTCGCCACAGTAGGGAGGGTCCAACGAAGAATAATGGACCTTCCTGGGCAAGCCATGATCACCGCCTCCTGTATAGCAAATCCCGACTGCTGCTTAAATCCGAATCAGTGTGTGGAGATGTGAAGTCATCGGAACTGAACGCGTTCGCGGCTTCAATCACCGTCAACACAGCATCCCGCCCCACATTCGCGGCACCGTTCAATAAAATGGCTGCTGGACCCACTATAGGCACCTCAGCCACGGAATCTACCACGCTGTTCAACCGCTGGGCCCTCCTCAGGATGCTGTCGTAAAGTGGCGTGTCCGACTCGGGAGGCCGCTCGACTCGTGAGGCCGGCAACCCTGTCGGTGAAGGAATAGACTCCGTGGCCACGGCCACCGGCAGCGGATATATGTATGTCAGCGGCTGTGGACTGCTGTGGTGGTGATGTCCCCACCGGCTCTTTAACTGCTCAAAGGGCGCGCTTAACATTGCCAGTGGATTCTTTCGACCCGTTTCCGCCAACGCTGGCGGTCCCAGGACAATCGGAGACAACACTCCCCCCAAGGGAGGAATGACAGTCGGGGCAACTCCAGAACCAATCTGGATCGAATTGACCCACGGAGGGCGTCCATGATGTCCAAGCTGCGGATAGGGCGGGTACGGCAGATACGGAGGATAGTACGGAGGGTACGGCGTACTAAGTTGGCTTGTGTCATCAGGGGGCTCCGCGCTCACCCGGCGTGGCACGGTAGAGTAAGGAGGAGGACTCGGCCGCACCGGTGCGGTTGCGTTTGGCATGCCCCAATCTCCGTATTTCCCCCCGAACCTGAAGAGCTCTTCACCTTTTTCCGCACCAGTCGTCTGGGGCGAATCGGTAGGTCCGCTGCCACCCGGAACGCCCACTGAGCCGCCTGGAGAAGTGACAGATCCGTCGGTGTCATCATCTTCACTCAAGTCGGGCAAGGTCACATTTCCACCTAGTCCATATCGCAGGCCCTTCGTGCACCGATATAAGCCGTAGGCCTTGCAATAAGCGTCTGTGGCACTGAATCCCTTTCTTGGCTCCCTGACAGGTGTTCTGCGCAGCACCTGATACGGGCGGTACCAGATCTCGTCCAGCAGTGCCTGGGAAGCGCCCACTCCCGTGGCATTCATTCGTGAAAGAGCTTGGGCTCTTGCTGCCACCTTAAGCTCGAGTAGAGTTCTGGTGAGAGCGACAGGGCTGGTAGAGCCAGATAAAAGGCCACCCAGAAGCTGCTCTTCTGATAGGTCCTTCCATCCAATTCCTGAAGCGTCTAAACGGATAATAAGGGGATCATTCGGTCCCAGCGCCCGATCTAGTTTTTCCATGAGATACCGCCACATTTCTGCCGACTGTTCATCCGCTTGACCTCCTTCAATCATCTGTACTGTAGCGGCCAGCATCTCCAGGTCTTGCTCCGGCATCTTGGTATTTCTCTGCTTGAGATAATCAAGCAATTCATCAACAAGAACTCCATTCACAATAAAATCGTAGTCATTTCCGAGAATTTCTTCAATCCGGCCATTCTCTCGAGCCAGCCATTGATATTCCGGTGTGCCGTCGGTAAGAGATGCAAAGCCGGTGGCAAGCAAGCTTGCCGCGAAAAAGCGCATCAAGCAAACACGTGTTTGCGGACAGCATATGGTCCAAAAAAAAAGGTTTGGGCAGATGTCTGAATGCCCTCCGATTTTGAAAGAGGTCCCAGCCACAAAATGGAAAGTGCTGGAAAGTGATATACACGCAACCTTACTGCAATTTGACAAAGCGCAAGAGTGGGCTGACTTAGCAATTTGTTTACAAAAGCTGACCAAATCACTAAATCGGCAACCAAATGAAGGCTATCAGCCTATACCATGTCTACTAGCGATATCGAAAGTACTTTTCAAATGTTTAAATCCTCAGTTGCCAAGTAAGATTACAATAAGTACGTACATCATTGCGATTTTGCAGGCGGAATTCACAGTAAAACATTGAAGGTATACGAGTGTATTCTGGATCGCGTTGGGCCGGCGGGTACGCTGGTTTGTCTGCAGCATTTGCTGCCGCCATTAGTGACCTTATATGGCTATGCTTCAAATTCGAATCGGATAGAGATTTGCAACATGTACCAAGAGTTCCTTGTACCCTGCTTAGATATTCTGGAACCGTTAAGCGTCAGTAGGTGTGGGTGAGGGGTAAATAACTTATTCCATTGTTTAGTGGTCATGTCCGCGGTTATATTGGGAGCAGAGAATGAGAAGTGCCCGGAATTTGCGACATTATCGAGTTTCTTCCTGACCTGTGAAAAGGCATGGGGGCGGTCAGTAACTTTTGAAGCCTATTGGTCGATCGTTGCCGAGTAAGAGGAGGGGCGGAACATCATCTTCAATGCTGGTTGTTTTTAGACAGGAGGAGTTCCGCATCGCGACCTTGAAAGTCATGGCTCGGAGGATAGAGCAATTAGACGGAGATGGAGTAAGTCCACGTCGCAAAAGCAACCACCAATCGTAGCAACTAGTTGCAGCAACCAGTCGTAGCAACCGGGTGTAGCAACAAGTCACTTGAGCCGATCGCTTGTGGACATGTTTCCTGTATTTAGTTACTGCCAGTGTTTGCCTGCCCGGCCGCAATAGAGGATGCTACCTACTTTTGTGCGGTGCCCTCCTCCCACGCTTCGGAGCGAGCTTATGAAAATTTCCTTAAGTGCTCACGGCAGCTGTTGGATATCCTGTTGACTGGCTTACCATATCTAGATGAGAACGCGATGACTGCCATCATTGGCAACATTACTCCGCTATTGGCTCTGGAAGATCAGTCGGTAGTGTGCCGCTTGAAAAAGGTGTTGGCAGCCCATGCGTCTACTGTGATCGGCACTATAAACAACATAGTGCTAACCGGGTATATGGAGTCTCGGGTGTGTTCCGGACCACTTCCCCCAGGACCACTGGTCCCTAGGTCACAAACGAGTAATGCTTTGTCGAACGCTCGTGGACCCTTACCTTCGAGATCCAACGCATCAGTAGCTCTGTACTCGGATCTTACAGCAAAGTATGGGCCAGTCATCCATGGTTGGTGCAACAATATGGGTTTCAAATATCCTTTATTGTTTGGCGCAACTTGTCTAAGCAACGCCAAAAAATTACTGGACGAAGAGTACAAGGAGCTTTCGGTTCAGACTGGACAACGAAACAAGACTAGCAAAGAGGGCCGATTGGAGGAAGAGGGCCGGTTGGAGGAAGAGGGCCAATTGGAGGAAGAGGGCCAATTGGAGAAAGGGGACCGGGAAGAGGAAGAGGACCGGGTAGAGGAAGAGGATCGACTGACAGACGAGGTCCCACTAGGGAAAGAAGAACAACTAGGCGAGGACGACCGACAAGATGAATCGAAAACTCGTAGTCTAGAGCTTGATGTATGGCCGCTGTATGTTGCGTTGTCCCGTCCCATGGAAGGGCGCCTGTGGGAGGACATCCAGAGCAAACTGTCGCCCCCGACGGCGGTGCCCATTTCCTTTTGGTATAGTTCGTTGGAAGAGTCGATGCTCATCTGTGATAACTATGTGAATAGGAACATTCCATTTCCGTTGGGGCTCACCACTCGACTGCTGGTCTTAACGGGTCTGACGGTGAATAATGTTGAGGAAAGAACAGAGCTGGCTGAGGCCTGGAACTCAGTGTACCGTCATGTCGCCGCGGCCAAGAGTGATATCGGTGTGCAAAATGAACTCAGTTCTATCCGCTTGGTAGCAGATAGTGTGCCATACTCGGAGTGGCCTGAGGTCGGTGTGGATGACCATCCGCCGGACCATATTTTGATGAAAGCCGAGAAGCTGGCGGCTTTAGGATCTCGGTCGTTCTTCCAACAGCTGATAGACTTGTACGGTTGCAGCACACTCTGGATCAGCGCTGCCGGCTTTGTCTGTCTTGACTTGGCCTGTGAGGCAGGCACACAGATGAAGCTGGTGCCGGCGGCAGACGGAGGCGAGCAGCCAACGGAGTCCGACGAGGTAGTCGCTGCAGGCGGCAGAGCGCTGCCGTCGCCGGACGTCGCCACCGCACAGACACGGGACGTGGCCGGAGATCGGAAGATACCATCACCGGAGACCCCACACAGTCCTGCACTTTCCGCGGAGGAACTTCCTGGATCCAAAATCTCTGTGGAGTTACCGAGCTGCAAAAAATCGCATTGTTCGTGCGCTCTCAACCATCTTATGGGACCCATCATTAGATGCTGGTCGATGGGCAAAGATTTGCCCTCCTCGTCCTTTGCAGAATTGCACTTGCCGGAGATTGTAGCTGCGTCTACCAAGTACATTCTGAACAGCGAGAAACGTGGTCAGGATCAGAAGCACGGGGGCGAGAGCTACGGCGTTGAGATTTACGGCGATGACCAGAACGTCGGCAACCAGAAATTTGCCGGCAACCAGAGTTATGCCGGCAACCAGAGTTATGCCGGCGGCAACCACACGTTACTGCACAATACCTTGTGGGCATTTGGCGTCCACAAGCTGGAGGAGTATCAGGCTGCGTATGAGTCGGCGGAAAACATCGACGTTTTAAAGAGTCCGGCGGGTTTCCGGAAGAGTCCAGCGTTGCGGAGCCCGAAATCGGGGAGTGTATCATTGGCGGGAGTAGAGGCGAAGGCTGGGGTGGAGAGGCTGTTGAAGGCCTTATGCAACTTTACATTAAGTTTGGCAAGGACTCCGTTGGTGTTGAGCAATACGCGCGCTTTGGTTCACATGATCCCATACATAGCTGAGAATCATGAGGGAGGTCCGGATCGTATTTGTCCTTTGATATGTGCGATTCCGGAGCATATTGTGCAGGCGTTGTGGTCTTGTCCTGCGGTGATAACTCGGAAGACCCCCCAGCGACCCGCTTGGACTTGTTTCCATTTTGCGCTCAATTCTTTCGTCTACGACCACATGAAGATTGCGTCGGAAGAGGGCGGATCCGACCAAACGCTGGTGGAGGTGGTTCGGGCGATCCATCATGTAGCCATTGAGAGTGTGTGTGGCGAGTTGAGCGGTCTGTATTTGGCTGCAATGAGTGAGTGTGCTTTTCGAACATGTCAGAATGGTCGCTTCGAAATGGCTTCGATTATCTTAAATTGCATGCTCCACCTCATTGTCAATTCCAGGTACAACGAGGCTCCCGTTTCTCTATCCACGTGCTCTGTGGTCAAGACGCGGCCTTCACTACTTCGAGGTCTTAAAGACTTTCTGGCCACATCGCCATTCAATACGTGTGAGCAAACCCGTGTCGAAGAAGCCTATCGGCTTCTGCAACCCGTGTTCAATGTTCTGTTCACAATGGTGGACTGCCGGGAATCCGTGGAAGATGAAAGCGCCCTTCCCGGCAGTGTTCCCAAGTTAATGCGAAGCAATAGCGCGATAGTTGTCGCACACAACAAGGAAAGAGTGGCGATGATCCCTGCCCTGAAGATTCTAGCTTTGTTGGCAGATCGATCGCCCACTGTACGGCTACAGTTTGCCAGATTCTTAGTGCGGACTTTGAACCATTCAACCGCGGCAAGAATCCAAAGGAATTTTATTCTTCATCTGAATTCTCTCGCTACCTCCCCTATCCCCTACATGGACCAGACCATTGACAAGAGTCTTTACGATATGCTCCCTGTCGGATTAATTCAGGGAAAACATGGCATTCACGATACCACCAAGCATTCACAGGACATGGAACAACTCTGCCTATCCGCTGTCAACTCACCCTTCTTCGAAAGGACCACTGATACCAAACTTATCAAATGCCGAGACCAATTCCTCTGCAGCATGGCCCGTCTTCACGAAGCATCTACATTCGTTACCATCTGCAACGTCTGGGCGAGTAACTCCGTTCTGTCGGCTAATCCCGGCGAAACAAATATTTTCAACGTCATCCAAAATGCCTACTCCCTGGAACGAACTTGGCAGCTGGCTGCAGAGACAAATTTTACCAATCGTTCTTGCACAATTCTAGGCTTCCTTCATTACTATACTCTTTTCTGCTCCACGAGAGGCACTGCTGTGAAGGCCTGCTCGTTGTGGAAATGCTTGGAGACAATCGCCCTGAAGATAGATCTCACTGCCTACGATAGCATTGCGTGGTTATCTGAACTAATCTACGACCTGTCCAGGTCATTTCCCTGTCAAACATTTGCCGTCGACAAGATTGTCAAAGTCGTCATCGACTCCCAGCAGGTAATATCGCAGCCGACGAAAAAGCAGCATTTCGATTTCGTACCTCCGTACCCCCCTTCAATGCTTGTGTATGAAGCCAAGACGCTAACCATTCTTGGCTTCAACCCCAAGTGGGTCTACGAGCCATCATCCGCCAAAGGAGAAATGTCCTCGCGACATGACAGCGGCGGCTTCGTTAGACCCAGACGACGAGCATCTCTTCTTGGTGCAGGATATATTCTCGGGAGGGTAGTTGACATACAACCCGGTCCGGATGGCAAGACCAGAATATCTTTCCCTTTTAATCATACTGAATGCGCTGTACAAACGTGTGTGCACGCGTTTTGCTCACTGGTCGAAAAGATGATTGACATGCCCAGAAAGATCGAGGATTCCGGAAATGAAGCAGCGGGCTTCTCCCACATCATCCTGAGCATATTATCCAGTCCGAGTCTGCCATCATTGTTCATGGATAGCATACTGCATTCGTCCAAATCGCAATGCCAAATTGTGCTATATAGCATTACAAGATTATGGCTCCTGCTGGGTCTTTTCTCCCTCGATTATACCTTCAGTAACAACGCGGTCTTTGCTACGAAGTACACGACGAGTTGTAATACTTTTCTGGTTAAAGCTATCAAAGGAATCAAGGAAGCGCCCGGTAATCGGCCTCGGCCCCACTGGAGGCTGCTGACTGCGTTGGTGAATTTGCAGACCGTGTCCAAGCACCATTCGGGGTACTTGAAGCACTACAGCCGCGTATTTCCGATATATAAGTCCGAAGTTATCAAACCTTTCCAGGATCCGCTAGTTCTTGCTTTCGAAAAATTCCTTACGCAAACCTGGATAAATACGGTGGGGAATGTAGTCGACAGTGAGCCTTTGGTAACAGCATCTATGTTCACCAGTCGCAGTACTGACCTGCGGAATAAGAGTGACTATCTTTGCAGGCTTGCTTTATTGTCACTCAGTTTGCCCCCAGGGATTTTGTTGCATGAAGAGACGGTATGGACTAACGTAATCACCAACATCAGACGAAGCGTGGACGACAACGACTTTGGGGCGCCTGCTCTACGTCTGAGGCAAGCAGTACTATATTTGTTGAGTGTGTTGACCTTCCAATTTGGACAGCACCTTAGCCCTACCTCCAGCTTCTGGCCGTTGGTCGTGTGCGAGGTGTCACACGCTTGGTTGCCTTTGCTGTCACCCGGGATGTACTCTGGTAACAACAAAATGCCATCGGACAGTGCAGTCCACCCCCTCAACATTCTGTGGGTACGAGCGATCAAAGTTATTGAGGTTGCAGCTGTCCTCAGATTGCCTCTCGCCACCCACTTCTTGAGTAGAGGGGGACCTCTGCATGCATACGTGGTAACCTACGATACCTCTACTCAGCCACGACCGAGCGCGAAGCAAGACCCGCCTTTCCATGACGATCAGTTAGACATTCAACTTAAAGAGATTCCATTTGAGGGAATGCCACTGGAAGAGATGCCGGAGATGAAAGATTCGAACGTAGGTACCAAGAGCAGCGCGGTATCCAATCACGGTGAGCCAGTTCAAGTGGTTTACTCTTCACCCAGCTCGAATGACTGCAAAAACGCCAGAACAGACGTTCGAGCGGAGGGCTCATTGGATCTGAGGTCCCATGAGATGAGGTCCCATGAGCCGAGGTCTCATGAGGTGAGGTCTCACGACGCGAAGCGAAAGTCCATCGATATGAACAGTGAGGAGGCTGTTCCCTGGACTACGCCTCTTTTCGTCCCCGCTGCGGATGACTCGTTCGCTTCCATGCGGACCGGACTAGTTCAGCACGTTCCTTTAACTGACCCCGTCACCATTTCCATGTCTGCAATCGACGCGTGCCGGGTCGTGCTCGGTCGGCGCAGATGCAACGGCTGTGCCGAGTGCGTTGAGATCCTCCGGTGCTCGCTAGAGAGCGACCCACTTACCGGCAAGCCAGTGCTGTACGACCTCCATCGGAACTATTAGCCAGAAAACATTTATCATCAGAGGAAACCCCACCCACCGCTCGAAGAGCGATTGATATTTTAAAATTCGATGGCCACCAAAGCAGAACAGCAGGTTGCGCTCTTGAAGCAATTGGAGCAGCATTTCGAACGCCAGGATAATGTCAACTCAAATGCACTAGCCAGCGAGCTAAACTGGGAGTAAGCGAAAGGGTCTGCCGTTGTGTGCGCGCATCACTTCCTGTTGTGTGTGTGCACACACGAATGTTTCTGAGGCACCAGTCGTGACCGAGTCGTACACACACGATTGGGCCCCAGCGGGTAGGGGCGGTGGAGAACCCCAGCGGGTAGGGGCGGTGGAGAACCCCAGCGGGTAGGGGCGGTGGAGATATGGGAAGTTGTTGTTTGTTAGACATTCTGCAGTTGTGGGTATTTTGAAGTCGTTGGAGATGATGGGGAAGATTGAGACGGAGGCGCAATTGCACGTGGAGTACGCGTTGACGGAGGAGGGTGAGGAGATTTTGCGGGAAGGGTCGCCGGAGGTGCGGCTGATGAATATGTTGCCGAAGCAGGTGGATTCGATCAAAGAGGACCCTGTATTGGCTCGCGGTATGGCGCAGTGTTTAAAGAACAAATGGGCGGTAAAAAAAGGGGACTTATTGGAGGTTATGTCAATGCCGTTGGGTGACCCGTTGCAGACGGCATTGCAGGGAGTGAAGAGTGGTGCAGTACCGACGGACGCTGCAGGTTTGCAGAAGCGGAAGATGGTGGTGAAGAGTTCGGTGACGTACTTTGTACCGCGGCCTACGGCCTTGTTCAGTACGGAGTTAGCGAAGCAGTTGGTGGATCTGGACCGGAGTATCCTGCAGACGGGTGAGTGGCGAGGGGCAGAGTTCAAGCCATACAATTTCAACGCAGCAGGAATTGCGCCTTGCTTTGGTAGCATCCATCCGCTGATTAAGACCATGAACATGTTCCGGCAGATTCTGCAGCAAATGAATTTCGAGGAGATGGACACCAGACGCTGGGTGGAGTCTTCGTTCTGGAACTTCGACGCGCTCTTCCAGCCCCAAACGCACCCGGTGCGCGATGCGCACGACACTTTTTTCCTGAAGCACCCGGCAAGATCGATGGACGTGGCCGAGCAAGTAGCTCTGCACGAGCAGCTGGTCTCGGAAGGGAAGGCTTTGGATGGACCTAGAGCGCTGGACAATATCAGCGAGGCCACTCATCTCATGGATCAGACGTACTTCGAACGCGTGAAAGAGATCCACGAATCGGGCGACCATGAAAGCCACGGCTGGCAGTTCCCGTGGGATGCGGAAGAGTCGTATAAACTAATTTTGAGGACACATACAACCGCAGTTACAAGCCGCATTCTCCGGCACCTGGCCATGGAATACCAGAAGAACCCTGACGTCAAAATTGACCGACGTTTCTTCTCCATAGATCGCGTCTTCCGTAACGAAACTCTCGATGCAACACACTTAGCGGAGTTCCATCAAATTGAAGGCATCGTAGCATCCACAACCGCTTCCTTATCTGAGCTCATGGGAATCATTAAAACATTCTTCGCCAAAATCGGCATTAATGATGTCGAATTCAAGCCGGCATATAATCCATATACTGAGCCATCTATGGAAATATTTGGTTTCCATCCAACTTTGAACAAATGGACTGAAATTGGTAACTCTGGAGTTTTCAGACCAGAAATGCTCCGACCAATGGGGCTCCCTGAAGATTTGGTTGTTCTCGGTTGGGGTCTGAGCCTTGAGAGACCCACAATGATCAACTACAATGTAAAAGATATTCGTGAACTTATTGGTCCGAAGGCCAAACTGAGCGTTTTTTAAATGAATAAATTACTTGAAGACCTGCAATCACCTACATATATCGCAAGTAATCGGTTGCACACGCGTGTGCTTCATTTGTTTTTATGCATAGATATCGTACGTGAGGGTGATATTGACAAAACTCTCGACCAGGTTCGTGAATGCTCCAAGATATTGTCCCGACAACTTCAGAATCTGGTTAATGAGTCACGAGGATCACTAACAAAAGCTACAAGTCATTCTGCCAAAATAAGTCAAATTTGGAGTGATGTGGATGGCAAGCTATTGTCCTTACATACGGACATAAATGCAAGTCTTTGTGAGGGAAAGAATATGGATACTTCAGATTGGAAACAGGCAGTTGAGCAGTACGAGCTGTTGGAATTGATTGCTGAATTTTTGAATGAGACGGAAAATTTACCGGATGCTATACCTAATAGCATTACTCAACTGCTTCATGCGAGTAGTAATAATGGCTTGATAATGATTAGTGTTCCTCGTAATCTGGAAGCTTTGAGAAAATTTGATATAACCCGAGAGAGGGTGGATAAGCTAACGAATCTCATGGACCGAATGAGACAGCAGGTGCTGCATCATTTGCAGGTTGCTTTAGATGCCAGAGATCAACAGACATTGGTTGGGTGCCTAATGATAATGGATAATATGGGAGTGTTGGATTATGAGATTATTCGATCATTGATAATTGATGATTGCTTACAACTTATAAATGAATGTCAGACCTTGGAGCAATGCGTGGCTATGATCAAGCCATTTAGTACAGCTATTTTGAAAGCCAGTGCCGTGAAGGTTGCGGCACAGAGTTTGGCGACAATTCAATGTCATGAAGAGCTTCAGGCATTGAGAAAAATCAGGCAAAATATGTGGAAGGAATTAGCAATTAAACTTAGCGTTTCTGTCAAAAACGTTCTAGAGAAAAGCCAGTCTCCAACAATCACTTCTATGGCTGAATTCCAGATTGGTTTGAAAAGACTATCCATGGCTAAAGAATTACAAAACAATCTTAACCTCATGGGCGAGCCCAACTCGCCAAGGATACAATTACGGCTTGCAGGCACTAACACCCAGTTGAATAATTATATCACTCAAGTGTTTATACGACATGTAAATCACCTCTTTCGCCACAAATCTGTTTGACACACACAAATCTGTTTGGCACACACAAATCTGTTTGTTTAGTATCGCGTGCTTATACCGACAGCCGTCAATTGGCAGAGTACCAAGTTAACCGTACTGGAAGACTCCATCCATGATGCTCGATTTGAGTTAGGATGTATCCCAAAGTCAGAAGGACTGAAGGCTATTGAACTATTGAATGAATTTGTCAAGGTGGTGGAAGAGAACCATGGTGCTAGCCCCCTAATTGAAGAGACAATTGTTACGTGGCTTCATCTAATTGACAAAATAAACACAGATTGTATTTCTTCTGGGTATTCTCGAAGTTATTTGATGAATAACATAGTCAAGCCATCCAGATTACTATCCAACCGGGTGGCAAGATTAGACTAGGCCAGAGGACGTATCCTTCGGCTGAAGATGTTTCTGGTCAAGAGAACCTTTATCCTCAAGACCGTTTTGGTTAGGAGTTTTCTTCGTTGTTAGATTTTTGTATTTGGACATATCGATGATATTGTTGCTTGGTAGTTTTGGCCGCACTGCTCGTGGTTGTGAAGGTGCAGCCACCATAGGTATTGATTTATTTAGTACTTCGTTTTGGTCGAGTACTTCGTTTTGGTCGGTCTGTTGTGAGCGTGTGTCTCGTCTTAGATTCTTTTGGCGACTTCGTGTTTTGGTTCTATGTCTAGATAGCTCCTTACCATCCTCTCCTTTATAGATTTGTACAAAGCTCTTTTTGCCTTTACGTCTTATGGCAGGAAGAGGTAAAGGTGGGAGAGCCACCATAGTTATCAAGGATATTTTTAATGATTATATACCAGCGGAAGATATTATCAAGTGTCCCTGCATTCGTAATAGAAAAAAACAAGAGGCGGAAGATTGAGTTAAATACAGCTACTCTGCCTGTCCACACACATTCAGACCATGTATTATATTCTGCATTAAAAGAATGGCGTTGGAATAATAAGACAAAGCCCATAGGATTGAAGAATGCGGCCAATGCTTGCTATTTAAACAGTGTAATATCAAGCCTAATGTACTTAGTACAGGATACGAATCAAGAAGATATTTCTCATGATGAATGTACGAATGAGAAAAATTGTTTGTCATGTCGATTTATGATATTCATTCGAAAACAGTCTCCAACAACATTGAGCAAATCATCATTTGGTAAAATGGTTCAAATCTATGCCAGAAGATCTAAGCTTGACTTCAATGGTCAAGAGCCAGGGGATGCGGTAAAATTCTTTATTCATTTATTAGAATGGATGATACAAGCCCAGATACAAAATCACCGGATACGGGGGTCTAGTAGCGACTTGGTGGACTTGGACGCATCTTTGAAGCAACTAACTACATTGTTTGGAAGAATTTTTATGTTCATTACTCAGCAGTCGACAACTTGCTCTAAATGTCGAAGAAAATCCCTGCGAAGGACCGTCAATCGTCTTTTACCCGTTTACGGGTGCGGAGATACTTTACAGCAGCTTGTCAATAAACGAATGGATGAGGAGACGGTTAGTAATTACGTCTGCGAGTATTGCAATGAGTCATGCGATCATCTATTTGAAACCGAATTGCTTTCCTCACCCTCTTGTCTAGTGCTACAGTTTATACGCACACGAACACCTGCAACAATCAGTGTTTCTGGTGAAGAACACTCTCTAGACATCGTGAATCCACTAAGTGTCTCCCTCTCAGCACAAGGACAATTTATTACCAACTATGAAGCGGCTGCTGTGGTGTGTCATTGCCCCTCTAACGACTCCCCTGAGGAGCAGGGCCATTATGTCTCTTTCATCAAAAGAAGGCATTGGTACATAGTCGACGACGATTGCGTGTCCCAGGTCGCTAGTGCAGATGTGGAGCGAGCAATTAGCGAAGGCGCCGTTCTTGCTTTCTACAAGTGTACGGGCCCTTGCTTGTCCTTCGACCAATGTGACCAGCTTCAATGCCACCAGCTTCCTGAGAATGACAAAGGCCGGCTCGAGAGGGTCGATTTGCCCATTGCCGAGGCCATTGCCGCCAGGAATCAATCGCAGCAGCTGGCCACTGGCTTAGGTTGTGACGCACCTTTGACCTTCGAAATTACCGCTGCTACCCCCAGCAATCAACAAGATGTTTATCGCGCCCTAGTGCATCGTGAGGACCCGCGGGATAACAGCGACGATAGCCGCCTTGCCGACACTCACCTTGCCGATATCCAAGCCATCCTCGGCGGCCGTAGTTAGCTGTATCGGCTTGTGCGTTGATCCTGCACCGCGACCTGGCTTCACACAAACTACCGGACGTACACGATCATTGGAAGCACTCCAGCCGCACTCCAGCGTGGAAGCCGCACTCGGTTATCATTGCCGTTAATTAAAAAAAAATGCGCGGAAGTTTGTCGGTGGTAGATACCGTGGGACAGGAGCTGCTGTTGGCGCTACAGAAGGTGATTTGCCAGGCCGGATTTGAACAAGTGCCGGATACGGCGGAGATGCTCTTGTTGCGGCTGAAGGAGCCTCAGACGCGTTTTGAGGACTGGTGGCGAGGCGCGTTACCATTTGCAGGGATTCGGGTTCGCGCTGGTACCTTGCGAAGCCGCACCAGAGTTTCAAACATCACTCAGTCAGAGCTCCGTACGGCCCTGGTTACAAACTACGCTGCTGCCGTCTGCAGTGATGAGAAGCGCGGGCAGGTAACGGATGCGGCGAACGAAGACGCACAAATGGCGAACGGGGACTCAGCTGTACCAAAGGGGAACTCACAAATGGCGAACGAAGACTCGGTCGATAACGAAGTTGCCCAATTCATTTTCAGGTGGGACGTATCTCAAGGATGCCAAAACCTAATGCGAGTTTCCTGGGGCAGGGACGCCCCCGAACTGACTGCAGAAATTTCTTTGATGGGCAGAGTCACCCCCCGCTTCGGTCCAAGTGACGTGCTCATTGCGCTCGGACCGTGGCCGATTGCGGGCACCCAAGGGAAATCCACAGGACTCTTGTCCGAGGGGCATCCCCACCCGCCCCCACGGATGTCAGGTCCAGGACCGCTACTTGGCCGTGGCTCCGATTGGCCCCAGGTCCCAAGGACTCAACCAGCCCCAGTCCAAGTCGTCCCAAGAGCACAGTACGTCCCGCTCCAGGAACCATGGGGTAGCATGTACCTGCGTTTGAGGGCGCTGGAGGCGCGCGGTGAGACGGCCACACTTAACCAACTGATTGCGGGCTTTTGGATGCACGCGGTGTGGAATGGACAGGAAGCGACTGCGCCATTTACAAACTCCCAGCTAAGCGAATTGCCATTAGCGTGGCACTTAGCTGAGCTGTCCAGAAACTGGCCTGATGGTTGGATCCACGATTTACTCTAGACACAGTGGATGTCAGCGACGAATTAGGGCCTGTCTGTCTGTCTGGCCCGTCCTGGCACGCACCAGATTCTGGTTATTTTTCCGCTATAAATCGGTCTTGTGAACGAGGCTACCAAACAAGTGTGCTCTCGCTAACTACCACTTAGTGTTGTTACCAGAATCATTGGTATGACGCCTACGTTTGCTACTATTCAGTGGAAGGCGGTTATTTGATTAGACGTAGCCAGCGTAATTCGTTATTCCTGTGATATTTCTTCTTGTTGAACTGCACGCCCGTCACAGCCGAACATCGCACTAAATGCTGGCGGTGGGCTAACAAAGTTGATAAACTAGTTTCAAGGTTATGATGGGATGTATGCTGCTCGGGTGTTGTCGAGTGTTGGTTGATATTGGGAAACTCAACAGCGAATGGCGTGCTTGGCTGGCAGATGTTTTTTCCTTGTGGCCAAAGCGGAGAGTTCTGGTTCGGATGGCAGTGCTTTGGACGGGGGATTTTTTTAGTTAAGAATATGGTGTCTCGGAAGTGGCGGAGAAAGGACACTGGTGGCTTGGTGGCGGCTCTTGGTCGTAAAGCGGCAGCGGAGAGGGTGGAGCTGAACGATGACGACTTTGTGGTGGATACGACGGGGAAGATGGGTAAGAAGCAGCAGAAGGTGGTGCGTGTTATCAAGCAGGCAGTACACTTGCGTCCGGAAGAGTTGGCTGAGGCACAGGCAGCATTAAGGAGTAAGACGAAGCGTGGGGAACGGAAGCGAGTGGCCGCCCAGGCGTTCGATATATGGGGCGAAGAGGTGGTGCGGAGCGGCAAACGTGCGGTACAGACCAAGGCTCGGCCGCGCGCTCCAGCAGTTGTGGTGCCCAAGGCGGGACAGTCTGCGAATCCCGACAAAGGCGTATGGGAAGAGTGTTTATTCGAACAAGCTGCCAAAGCGCGTCTGTATATGGAAGAAGACGACGCCCTCTTTGAGGAACACGATGCTCTAAAAGATGAGACCAAGAGCGAGCGGTACGAAGACGAAACTAACTCAAAGGTCAAGCGGGAGCTCCTGGACGAGATTCTGGAGGGTATTGACGTTGAAGCCATCGAAAATAACGCGGTTGAAGGTAATGAGGTTGAAATTACTAAAGGCGCGGCTGCCGAAGACAACACAGACTACACCAAGCCAGCGCCAAAGCTAACGGGCTGGAAAGCCATCAAGGCGGCGAAGAGGAAGCTGGTGGAACAGCAGAAGAAAAAGGTGGCCGAGTTGAAACACCACCGCGAAGAAATGGCGAGGGAGTGGGCTCGGGTGGACGAGGCGATGCAGGAAGTTGAGGAGGCGAACACGGTCGCCGAGAACTCGCGGCTATATAAGCAGCAAGTCGCCGCGCAAACTAAGGAACTTGCTGCCACTGGCCAGGCGCCCGTCTGGCGTCAGGGCAACCGAACCTTTAAAGATAGCGGAGACGACGTGGCCCTACCAGAGGACCGCGCACGGCAGAGGAGCTCGCTACGACGGGTCATTGCACCCGAGACTGGGAACGCCTTACGAGAACGAATTGTGTCCATGATACGACGAGGAATGATCGAGCTACCCAGCAATAAAAAAACTATTCGGAGACGTAGCCGAAGAAGACTCGTATGCCGGGTCCGTATGCAGTGATTGTCACGTCGTCCTAACCATCCGTCGTTATGTCCCACTCTTTATTTGCCCTCTTTTTTTTCAACGGTACGGCGCATACAACCGAGTGGTGAAGAAACTTACACGAAACACCTGAAGGTCGCACCGTCTATGAAACCCACCGCGTAGCTCCGGACTAGTCTAAAGAGATAAGTCCCCCACAGCGGGCCTTAGCAGTTGCTGTTGCTCTCATATGGTACAGTGACTTCCTGAAACCCGCAAAAATAAATAACCTTCGTTTGAGCCAGCCGGGATTTCGTCGTGCTCGTCTGGTATAGGTTTGGTAGACATCAAATATCACACCCAGAATTCAACTGCCGGTTCGTGAATTTTTCTAACCGGCCGTGCACCTATCGGCTGGGTTGGACGCCAGCAACGTGCTTATGTCACAACAACTGGCGCATTCCAACCACATTGATAATTGGAATATGGTGCGAGATGTGCTTGCTATCGGCATTTCTTGGTCCAGATTTAGCGAGGGATACACGTGCCCGCTAAGGCTGTGAACCACCAAGACAGCCTCGGGCGTCGCCAAGACAGCCTCGGGCGTCACCAAGACAGCCTCGGGCGACTGCCGTTGTGCGAGAGGACGCGGCTGGGCTTGCTAGAAGCATGGCCCGGGACAGTACGTGATTTTTTTCAAGCGCAACTTTTGGGGCCTTTTTGCTGGTAAACTTAGCATGGCTGCCGCTGCTATCGAATACAAGGGATTACTAAAGGGACACAGCGGTTGGGTTACCAACATCTCTACCCCCTGGGCCAACCCTGACAGCCCGGACCG